CTGCGCCAGTAGCGCCAGTGGCACCTCTTGTGCCAGAGGTTGCGCTATATGACTGAGTGCAACCCACAACAGAGAATTTGGCCATATCGAATTAGTCCCGCAAATACAAGCCGAATCCTTTCAAATCACAAACAACATGCTGCACTTGTTGCAAAACAAAAGACTATTTTCGAGGTCATACATTGAAGATCCTCAGCAGCACTTGGAGAATTTCCTGACAATCTGCAAAACTCAAAGGCAGCCCAACGTAACTTAGGAAGCAATAAAGTTGTTGTTGTTTCCATTCTCAGTGACAGGAGCTGCCCATACCTGGCTAAAATCACTCCCCATTAACTCCATCACGACTTGGGAGGAGTTAGTTTAACAATTTGTGAACAAGTTTCATCCACCCAACAAGACTGCTCAGCAAATTGATGAAATTTTGAGCTTCAAATGGAAATCAACGGAGACATTGCAAGAAACATGGGAACGATTTGAAGGGATGTTGGTTATATATCCGCACCATGGTATTCCAGATCAGATGTTGGGGCAGCGGTTTTACATGGGTTTGACAGATAGCGTGAAGGCTAATGTTGATGCTTCAGCTGCTGGAGCATTTTTGAGCAAAACATGGAGAGAAAGACAAAGCTTTCTTGACAAGATGGCATAGAATTCCGGGTGGACAACCAGGAATGCACCTATCACTCCAGTAGTCCACTCAGTGCCCTTAGATCTATCCAACACTCTTGCTAAAAATATGGCCACATTAATGACACAGATGAGTATACTCACCAAAAAAGTGGAAGAGTAAGGGCAGAAGCAGTAGGTACACATTGTAGATTCTACCAATGGGGGCTTACGCATATCTTGCATTAGTCAGCCAATTGGTAACCAATGGAATGCAGAAAGTGATCATCATCATTACCCTGAGGACAAGAATTATGTGTCTAATTATGGGGGCCAGAGATAAGGTGGTCAAAATTGAGGCCAACAGAATCAGCCATACAAGCCAGTCCAGCCACAACTCAACAATGGAAATATGGGAGGTATGCGACCTCACAATAATATGTCACCTTACCAAAAGCCACATGGATATAACAATCAAAATCAGCAGCAGGGTTATCATCCTTCTCAGCAGCAGCATGGTGAAAGACAGAAAGATGGGTTTGCTAGACTCGAGGCAATGATGCAGCAGGTTATTGAGTCAAATGCAAAAATGAGTGAAAAAGTAGATGCACATGAGTCAACTATTCAGAATATTGAAGTGCAGATGGGCCAGATTTCGATGTCTTTGAATAATCGTCCTCATGGGACATTACCTGCAGACACTCAGATAATCCAAAAGATCAAGGCCCGAAGTAGCTGATGGCAGGGAGTATATGTAATGGCATAGACTTAGACTTAGAGCAAGAGAGGGCTCGAGAAAGCAGACAGGCTAAGACACTTGTACCAGTGCCCATTGAGCTAGATGATTCAACGAAACTGACAGAGGTGACAGTACAGCCTGCCCAAGAAGAAACCAACACACAAATTAAGGCTGAGAAAGAAGCTGAGACAGCCTAGGAACTGGAAGTTGAGGTGGTGTCTGACAAAGAGAATACCCAAATCATTCGGAAGAAGAGACCTCCAGCACCGTTCCCACAGAGGCTGGCCAAATACCAGAAAGAGGAACAATACAAGAAATTGTTGGAGATGCTGAAACTAATCCAGGTAAATATTCCATTGATTGATGTTTTGAAGGAGATGTCTGGTTATGCAAAAATGATGAAGGACTTGATGTCCCGAAAATTTGATTTCCAAGACTTGGCCACAATGACTCTAACTCAGACATGCAGTGTTGTGGTGACTAGACCAGTTGCTGAGAAGTTGTCTGACCCAGGGAGTTTCACAATTCCTGCACCATTGGTAACTTTGCTTTTGCCAAGACACTTTGTGATTTGGGGGCTAGCATAAATCCTATGCCCCTAGCAATCTATAAGAGGTTGGGGATTGGAAGAGATAAACCCGCATCTATGTTGTTGTAGCTAGCTGACAGGACCGTGAAAAGACCTTCTGGTATCTTGGATGACGTGTTGATTCAGGTAGGGAAATTTGTGTTCCCTGCAGATTTTGTGATTCTAGATTGCAAGGTGGATGAAGAAATTCACATAGTTTTGGGAAGGCCGTTCTTGGCCACAGGGAGAGCTCTCATTGATTGTGAAACTGGGGAGCTTAAGATGAGGAGGTAACATTCAACGTGCAGAAATCTATGAGGCAACCAAGTGAATTCACCAATTGTTCTCTTATTGATGCCGTGGATGTAATCGTAGAAGCAGATGATGATATGTTGACTATTGAGGACCCTCTTGCTGCATGTCTGGTAAATTTAGATGAGGTGAATGGGGAAGAATTGGCAGAATGGGTGATGGCTTTAGAGGGTAGAGGGTTTTGGGATAGAACACTTGAATTTGAGTCCCTGCATTTAGAAAATAGAGAAACTCCTCCAACCAAACCATCCATAGAAGAACCACCAAAGCTGGAGTTGAAGCCCCTGCCCGCCCATCTCAGGTATGAGTTCCTAGAACCTAACTCCACATTACCTGTTATTATTTCATCTAGTTTGTTAGATGTACATGCAAAACAACTTTTGCAGGTACTCAAGGAGTGCAAGACTGCCATTGGGTGGACCAATGCAGACATAAGGGGATCGGCCTGACATATTGTATGCATAATATTTTGCTGGAAGAGGGGAACAAACCTTCCAGGGAGCACCAAAGAAGGCTGAACCCCAACATCAAAGAAGTGGTGAAGAAAGAGGTGATTAAGTGGTTGGATGCGGGAGTCATTTTCCCCATCTCTGACAGTAACTAGGTTATCCCGGTGCAATATGTTCCTAAGAAGGGTGGTATGACGGTGGTCAAAAATGATAACAATGAGCTGATCTCTACAAGAACCGTCATAGGCTGGAGAATTTGTATGGACTACATGAAATTAAATCTAACCACCCGGAAAGACCACTTCCCACTTCCCTTCATTGATCAGATTCTTGACATATTGGTAGGGAGGTTCCACGTCTATTTTCTGGATGGGTACTCAGGGTACAATCAAATCTATATTGCACTAGAAGACAGAGAGAAGACCTCCTTCACATGCCCATATGGAATTTATGCTATTTAAAGGATGCCCTTTAGCCTATGCAATTTACCCGCCACATTTCAAAGGTGCATGATGGACATATTCACTGACATGATCGAAGGCATAATAGAGGTGTTCATGGATGATTTCTCAGTGGTGGGAAATTCATTCGACAAGTGCCTTACAAATCTGATCCGAGTGTTGAAAAGATGTATTGAGACTAACTTGGTACTTAATTAGGAAAAGTGCCATTTCATGGTACAAGAGGGTATAGTCTTGGGACACCGGGTATCAAGCAAGGGAATCGAGGTGGATCGTGCTAAAGTTGATGTGATAGCAAAGCTGCCACCCCCACCTCAGTCAAGGCAATCGGGAGCTTCATCGGACATGTCAGTTTCTACTGGAGATTCATAAGAGACTTCTCAAAAATTGCCAACCCTCTCTGTAAGTTGTTAGAAAAAGATCACCCTTTCTTGTTTTCTGATGATTGCAGGGTAGCATTCGAGGAGTTGAAAAATAGGCTAGTCACATCACCCATCATTGTTGCCCCCGACTGGGAGCAACTATTCGAACTCATATGTGACGCCAGTGACTATGAAGTGGGGGCAATGCTGGGACATCAGAAAGATAAGCTAATTCACCTAATTTACTATGCCAGTAGAACGTTGAGTGGAGCCCAGCTGAACTACACTGTGATTGAAAAAGAGATACTGGATGTGGTGTTTGCATTCGACAAGTTCAGATCATACCTGATTGGCTCTAAGGTAATTGTATATACTGATCATGCAGCTCTCAGGTACTTGATTGAGAAGAAAGAGTCCAAACTGCACCTGATTCGTTGGGTGCTGTTACTGCAAGAGTTTGACCTGGAGATTCATGACCGTAAGGGCACAGAAAATCAAGTCGCTGATCATCTATCACGACTTGAAGGAGCTGAAAACTCAGTTGAGGTAGAGGATATTCTGGAAACCTTTCCAGATGAGCAGCTACTCGCTACAAGCCTTGAGGAAGTGCCATGGTATGCAGACTTTGCAAATTACATGGCAAGCGATATAGTTCCCTATGACCTTTCCTCTGTGCAAAAGAAAAAGTTTTATCGTGACTGCCACATGTATTACTGGGATGCACCTTATATGTTTTGAATATGTGATAACAATATGATCCGGAGGTGTGTCCTCGAGAAAGAACAATCTTCTATTTTGCAGGCATGTCACGCATCGGCATATGGCGGGCATTTTGGAGGAGTCAGGACAACAACAAAAGTACTAGAAGCCGGGTTCTACTGGCCAACAATGTTTAAGGATGCACATCAATGGGTGAAAGGATGTGATGAATGTTAACGAACCGGGAACATTTCCTGGCACCATGAGATGCCCATAAACCCAATTCAAGAGGTTGAAGTGTTCGATGTATGGGGGATAGACTTCATGGGCCCCTTTGTCAGCTCCTTTGGCAATAAGTACATACTTGTTGCTGTAGATTACGTGTCCAAATGGGTAGAAGCTGCAACACTACCCACAAATGATACAAGAGTGGTGGTGGGGTTTCTGAAGAAGAATATATTCACCCGTTTTGGGATCCCGAGAGCTATTATTAGTGATAGAGGCACTTATTTCTGCAATCGAGCCTTCGAGAAATTGCTAGCAAAGTACGATGTGTGCCACAAGGTGGCAAACCCATATCATCCTTAGACCAGTGGACAGGTTGAAGTGTCAAATAGAGAGATAAAGAGTGTGTTGACCAAGATTGTGAATGCCACAAGAACTGATTGGGCGAAAAAGCTAGATGATGCACTCTGGGCCTACAGAACTGCTTTCAAAACACCAATTGGTATGTCACCATACAAGTTGTTGTTCGGAAAGGCCTGTCACTTGCCAGTGGAGCTAGAACATAGAGCTTAGTGAGCAATGAAACAGCTGAATTTGGACATTGAGGCTGCGGGCACAACTAGAGTCACAGAATTGCATGAGCTCGACGAGTTCCGACATCTTGCTTTCGAGAGCACGAGGTTGTATAAGGAGAGAATGAAGCAGTTGCACGACAAGAACATTGTTGAGCGAAATTTCAATCCGGGAGACATGGTGCTGCTTTATAACTCAAGATTAAGGCTATTTCCGGGTAAACTCAAGTCACGATGGTGTGGACCATTTCGAGTGGTCAAAGTATTCCCATCAGGTGCTATAGAGGTTGCCTCAGAGAAAGACTCTCATACATTTAGAGTTAATGGGCAAAGATTGAAACCATATGTAGGCATGGATGAACCAAAGGAAGTGTCAATGATCCATTTGACTAAACCTCAGAGGTCGAGCGAGCCTTAAATGCGATGCGTCGTGCTGCGACATTAAATCAGGCACTGCATGGGAGTTAACCCATTGAATTATTGTAACTATCGCGCCATGACATTAACTAAGGCACTAGTTGGGAGGTAACCCAATGATAGTGAGTAGTTGTTACTTTTGATTTTGGTAAGTACTAACCAATGTAGGTGAGCTTGGGAAGGTGATAAGTCTATCGGACACGGAAAGAACAGGTGAAAAAATGGAAAATTTTTGTGCCCAGGAGCGTGCCCACGCTACCCACCGCGCTACAGGCCGCGCATATGGGCAAACATTCTGCCTCAGCATTTCAACCGCTAGCGCGACCACGCTATGACCACACTAGTAACCGCGCTAGAAGCGCAACCGTGCTAGTGGATGCGAATATGGCCAAGTACACTGTCTGCACTAGCGCGGCCGCGCTCGTACTGCACTACGACCGCGTTAGTCCCGCCCAACTGACACTATATTTAACTTAATATTTTTTTATTTTAAATTTTTTAGTCATTATTTTGTATGTTAAATCTGTAAGTGTTATTTCCGCTAACTATTCTCCCCCCACTCTAATTACTCCCCTCTTCTTCACTCCCAAAATCCCCAACGCTCAAATTTCTCAACCCTAACCCCCTTCTTCTTCAAATTCCATCTTCCTCAAATTCCTTGTTCTCCAAATTTCCAACGCAAATTCCCCAAGGTTCAAGCCACGCTCTCCCCTACTCTTCCTCACTTCTCACCATCTTCTCTCACTACAGGTAAGGTTTTCTTTTTACCATTGTTTTTGTAATTGTTTGTCGAGATTTTCGTTTATTTTGTTTTATTATGTAGTAGTTTTTGTTCTTCTCTTTTCCTGTTAGTAAATTGTAGTGTTGGGGTACTGATTGTGGGTGGTAATGTTGTTGGAGTTGTATCTTAACTTAGTGGGTGAATTTGGGGAAATTGTGGTGGTATTGGGGTGCAACATGTTTGAATTGGGTGTGGGTATATAATGCCCACAAGGTGTTTGTTTAAATGCCACAGTAAGTGTAAATAAGTAATTGTAACCAATTGTGCGTGTGAAGTCTGAGTAACCGCATTGAGTCACATTTTTTTGGGCCATGATAATGATTATTCCTTTTTCAAGTACTATGACTCCATCTAGAAAACAACGCACAACATGTGCTTCTTCCAGCAGTCAAGCTGGATTGTCCAGGGCGTGCGGGTTAGCTCCTGCTCGTCCCTTTGATAGCAGCAGGTTCGTCTCTGCCAAGGCTCAGGATCGCTTTGCGGATAAGGCCCCTAAGAAACCGATACTGGAAAGGGGCATAGATATAGGGTCGGTCCAGCTGGGCTGCCCTAACTTGTATAATGAGTTGGTAAGGCGGGGGCTACAAATCTTCCTTGAAGAGCCGGACTAAGGGAATGTGATAGTTGTCCATGAATTCTACGCCAATGTAAAGGAACATGTGAATGGCGTAGTAACAATGCGTAGAAAGGTGGTGGATGCCTCTATTGAGGTTATACGAAGGATATAGCAGATGCCCGCTCCTGTGGATCCATATGAAGACTATTATGAGATGTATGGCAGATCACACACGCAGTGGGAGAGGTTCTTTGCAACAATCTGTGCACCCGGAAAGGAAATTATATGGATGCAGTATGGTTAGAAGTTTCACTCCGCCGCTAACCTTTGAAGGGAAGTGCTGGTTATATGTTATCAACAACTGCCTAATCCCGTCTTCCAACACCATGGAGGTGAATAGTACTCGAGCGTGTCGCGCCCCCTTTTTCTTGCGAAATCGGGTTTATGACACTTGGGAGGACAACTCGTTCCCTTTTGGGAATTGGGTTTAAATTGAAGAGTCACCACCTAATGATTAAAGTGCATTAGGACACTAAGAAGAGTTTGATATAGGAAAACCAGAGATTGGGTAAGGGCTTGAAATTATCCCGAAGGGAAGGTGTTAGGCACCCCTCAGGATCCACTAGTGTGGTTCCCGGCCATGCTACAATTGTGACTTTAAGAAACAAGTAGGCAAGTAGAAGTCTCAAATAAAGGTTTTTTTTTCACATAATAGTTGCAAATAGATTAAAGTTTAAAGGAACAAAAGGAAGCTGAATTTTTGAGGAAAACAGTTCGAAAATTCTGAAAGTAATGAAAATAAACAAGTAAAGGGAGGGGGGTCCTAGGTTTACAAATAATATGGATCACCCCACACAACATCCGGTAATCACTTCTCAAAGAGGGGCTACAAGAGATGTTATCGTGTGGTCATCATATCCATATCTACCCTTTCCCACCCCGTTAAGGTATTAAAGCGCGGAATGGTTTCATTACTTATTGCATGCTATTACCCGCCCCATTCTTATTAGTCCCGGAGGTAATTGGGATTACTAATCCTAAAAGGGGAAGGGGCATGAGGTTTTGCAGTTTTAAAAGGACAAAATTCTAAGGCGACAACCAAAACATGTATAACAAGTATTGGGAAAACACAAAAACAGGTATGGCTCAAATAAACCTCCTCAAATCAAAGAAAACATATAGTTTATCATGTCTTACATGTACTGATTAAGGTCTGATTAAAACTTAAAAGGCTAAAACAGGCTGATTTATCACATATTTATAGATAAGAAGTCCGAATTAGACCTGCCCGCTGGTTGTAATTAACAAAAAAAACTGGTGCAGTCATAACTTTTATCCTAAGGCTTGTCTAAGTGTTAGACGAAACCTATAGGCATGATATCTACTGGTTTCAGAAAAGATGAAGTGTACTGATTTTAGAAGAGGTCGTTAGTTATTCAGGGAAGACGAGTTTTGACAAAAGATTTTGCAGATGTTAGATAATGATATTGCCGATTTTAGACTTATAGGTGAACAAAAACGTTTGATACTAGGTTGTTAATTCCCATAGGCATGCTTTCTAGGCGTTGTTGACTTTAAAAACATTGTTATTGACATGCAGAAATCCTATAGGCAAGTCATCTATATGCAGTTAAGTATTTAACTCCTATAAACAGGTTTGCCTAATGACAGATGCACATGCAAATTGCAGGAAGTCCTATAGGCAGATTATCTATATGATATGCAGAATTTCAGAAATGACTTATGGACATGGTCTCTATATAATACAGAAGTGCAGAAACCTATAGACATGGTCTCTATATAATGCAGAAGTGCAGAAACCTATAGACATAGTATCTATATAAAATGTAGAAGTACAGAAATATAATAATTCCCTATGAATATGGTATCTATATGAAATGCAGAAGTGCAGAAGTATAATAATTCCCTATGAACATGATATCTATATGAAATGCAGAAGTGCAGAAGTATAATAATTTCCTATGAACATGATATCTATATGAAATGCAGTACTGCAGAAGTATAATAATTCCCTATGAACATGATATCTACCCCTTTGCATGCATGATTCCCTCCCTTTTCACTAGCCATCCCCAATAGTTATTACAAGTTATTACAGCCCGGAATGAAATAAGAAAAGCAAAATTAAAAGTACGACCAATGGGAGCCTAATTCAGACTCCATGTCTGGAATATGAGATGAACCAACTCTAAAGATCATGATCCAAAGCCTTTCTCTCATCTTTGGATGTGTCAGAGTTCCCTAAGAGCCTCATATGGACTCCGGGCAATGCTCACACCCAAATGTTACCAGATTAAGAACATAGTGTAGTGTGGAAGGGCCAACCCTCAAGTGTTCAAGTTCAGAGGGAACTCAAGGTCCCAAGGCAAGGTTCACAAGAGGAGGCAGAACCTAGAAGCTAGGAGAGAGTGCAAGTGCAGAAGTGAAATTCTGAAAGGGAAAAGGGGGGAAAAGGGAACAACTTAAAAATCAGTGCATATGGGGATATAGAGGAGTAGGGAATTTGCAAGAACACAAGAGAAGCAGGCTGATGGGCATACTCAGCAATGGGATATGCTGGCACACCCTCCAGCTTGTTAGAGGTTAGGACCTCACTGGTTCAAAACTCAAGTCATGGGCAACAACTCATGTTTCCATGCCATAAGTCACCACTTACAAATACATAGGGGTAATAGGGTAGGGAGCAAAGATTTACAGTAGAAACAGGCAGTAGAACATAGGCATGTTAAGTTAAATATTGAACTCTACATAAGCAGTAAGGTAGCCATGGATATAAAAACTTTAAGTAAACACATTGGGGTGAGCCTGAAACTAAAATTAGGACATACCAGTTTCAGAGAAAACAAACAAAGAGAAAGCAGTATTCTTGTAAAGCCAAAGTGCAAAGGAGCAATCAGAATGCTATGAGTTTAGAAGAGAATTGTGAAGTCTGAAGTGTAAAAGTATTGAATTGAAGGTGTCCTAAAGTGTAGAAGGGTCGTGCCCTTTTATAGTGTAGAAAGCAAGTAGAAATAGGTAAGAAAATAGTTTGGAAATCAATAACATAAGGCCTCCCTTTAAATAAGGGATTCTGATTTCAAACGGGCAAAATAATAAGGAAATGGGTCAATCAAACACTTTTCCAGAGCAGTACAAGAGGGGTAAATACATAGAGGTTTATTTAAGGACAAAGTCTTGATAGTACATGGTTTGTGCAAATAAGGAAAGGAAATCAGTTAACAGCTAGTAAATCAGAAATTGAGGATTTCGTATGAATGAACCAGGTCAGAAAGATGGGAAGGATTTCGACTTAAGGAAAATCAGTACCAATCAATTAAACTTATTAAAAGGAATTCTGAATCAATCACAAGTTGGAAAACCATTTTGAAGAAAGATTCCTCATATATAAAAGCGCACAGACACGTTAAACATGAAGAAATTTGTCATGCTATTCAATAGAAGAGTCTAGTGTAGGAGAATCAGAATTGTGTGCAAACAAAAGAAGTTCACACTTAGTTCATAGACCCAGAAATAAGTCTGAAAGAGTCAAGGGTCCTCAAACAAAACCCTAGTTTGATTATATGACCAAACTCGGAGAAAACCCCCAAATTCTAAGGTTTCCGACTCGAGTCAAATACAGAGATGAGGAGGCAACAGGCTCAGA